CTCAAATTCTCCATATATCTTTATAATTGAATACACAGATGAATGTTAGTGTTTCACATTCCTTGTCATTATTTTACAAAGGGAATATTCTTCCCATAGGAAAATAATTTATAAAATTAACTGGTTGCCCAGTGAATTTCATCGTAAGGCATGTACTTCTATTTGGGGGTAAGATCACTTCCAAAACTTTAGATTGGTTCATTTTATCTTTGCTTACATCAATAGGATATGATATGCTTCGAGAGATGTTTGTTGATTCTGGCAGTAACAGTAATGAGGTGGAAGAAAAGGATGATAAAATTGAAGATGAGGATGATCAAGAAGCGAGTGATGATGAGGATGAGGATGATGAAGAGGATGAAGAGGATGAAGAAGAAAAGGAGATAGACTATTTTGAAGCTGTCTTAGAAAGGGAGCTGCAAGCCAAATTTATTCAACCTGACTTCTATGAAACACAAAAAGATTACAGTTCAATAAGTAAGTCGGGGGAAAGACAAAGGAATTGGGTGGCAGTATAAAAGGCTAACTCTGAACATTCAGTATGTGCAATTGTCGTGGTCCAGCATGTCTCAGCCTTAGACCATGAGGTTCTACCTGAGTGGGGGTGTGTGGACCTGGAAGCTTCGAGGAACCCAATGGTGATAAAGACCAAACGCAGGCATCTTGTCATCTTCAGAGAACTCTCAGTTCCATGTTGTGGAACTAGAGCCATTTCTTTATTAGCCATCTTTTCTGGTGTCCCTTAACCATCCTGCTAATACTAAGAGGCAACCATTTCTCTCTTTGTTCTCCTCTCTCCTCTTGCCACTGGCCCACTTCGCTTCGCTCCTAACCTTCTGTCCTCATACTCTCTCATACTCACATACCTCTCATCTCCCTGCCCAGGTGCAGGCCTACCTATTCAGATGCTTAGGTGCATAGATATGCAAATTAGGAGGCATATTATCCCGAGGCCATGGTAAACAAAAGTATCCCTGCTGACATTGACAATACAATAGTGGGCCAGAGTTTCCTGGCGCCACCACTGTTTATGGTGGCCAGAACCTGGGACCCGAAATATTCCATAACAGGGATATTTGGTCCCCCACATGCAATGCTTAGTTTTCAGAAGTTTTTTTGTCCTTCGAGTTTTACTTGATTTGTGACTTGGTCCATTATTTAAAGCTATATTTATATACAAAAATTCTCTCTACTTCTTTTAGTCACAGGAATTAAGAGATTGATTGATTACAAAGAAAAAAAGCTCCAACATATTTATAAAAAAGCACAACGTCAGAAAGAGCTCCTTAGGAATGTGGAAAACATAAATCTTAAGGTAAGTTCTTTTTAGCTTTTCCACACCCTGGTCCCTTACTTTCAAAATTTCATCTGTGTTTCCACTTGTGCCATCACTATGTAGTTCATTCATAAACCTAAATAACTTCTTAGAAACTTATACTAAAAATAGCCCTGTTTTATTATGTTTGAGTAATTTTTATAATATAAGCATTTTTATGGAGAATGGGACTAGGTGACCTGAGATAATGACTGAGTATTTACTATGCAGACAGTGCATAAAAGTATTATGCATTATTATTTAATCCTCAGCTCCCTGCAACATAGATAATGTCACCATCCCCACTTTCTAACACATTACAACTAGGTGAGTATCATGGTACATGCTTTTATCCCCAGTACTGGGGAGGTAGACGTGGATCTCTGTGAATTTGAGAACACCTGGCCACACGTAACAGGTCCCAGATCAGCCAGGGCTACACAGTAAGACCTTGTAACAACAAAAAGAAAAAACTTGTAACAACAAAAAGAATTAAAACTCCAAGAGGAACCATAGTAATTGGCAATATATAGAATAAGCCTGTTGTTTATACATTCATACATACATATATTATTTGTTTCAGTAAAAAATGACCAAATTAATTTAAAATTCTTATCATGTATGCTGAAACATGATTGAATTATTTTTATGGATACATTTTTCAGAGTTTTAGTGAAAGGAAAATATATTGCTATGTCACATTTAATCCCATCTTGGTAGTAAGGTGATTCTAAAGCACTGAGCTAATCCTTTGCTAGATTTAATTCTTTTTTCTTTTTTTGTGAAGCAGTAGTTGTCAAAGGCAAGCAGTTTGGCATAGAGCTATACCCACTTCAGCTGTAGTCCTTTGGAATAGCCAAAGGTAATAGGTATAGATATATCTTGAAAGATTCAGATATCTGACACTATTGTGATTTACATATATGTGGTATTGTATGTAGTGTTAGGAGTAGTAATATTCTGTTCTAGTGAGAAGAAATGGAGGACTTATATAACCCTAGGAAAAATGTAGCATGTAGACATTTCACCCATTTACTTGAGGACAAGAAAAATGCTGTAGAGAGTACATAAAATAAGATTGGATTGTCAGGTAGTAGTTTTGTGCTCCAGTTTTTCTAAAATGACCCTTCTTCCTATAATTGACAGCTTTCTTATCAAATATGTGACAAACTGTGTTCTGTGGTTCTCTCTTCCTTTAAGATACATCTTTCATCACTGATACAATTTATTTTTTTCAGAGGCATTTCCAGTATGTTTTGGGGCAGCTTAACATATTGGAAAGACAAAAGTGTGAGGAGGTAAGAAGCGTGTTTTAAAATAAATAAATTGCTATGAAGAACTCACCCACCTCTAATCTAATTTCAGGCTGTTTGTCTTATAAGAATAGTGGTAAACATATATTCTGAGTGAAAATAGCAGGGTGGATCAAGATCTTTTTGAAAATCTGTTCATTCAGCAGTTATTGAATACCTCTGGAGTGAAAAACACTAGATAGAGTGTTGAATAACCCAGATAAAATACTTGTCCTCCAGCTGACCTGAGCTAGTGGAAGCTCACTGACTCTGGGCTGACAGCGGGGGAGCCTGCATGGAACTGAACTAGGCTCTCTGAATGTGGGTGACAGTTTTGTGACTTGGGTAGTCTGTGAGGCCACTGGCAGTGAGACTAGGATTTATCCCTAGTGTTTGAACTGGCTTTTTATAGCCCATTCTCTTTGGAGGGATACTTTGCTCAGCCTAGACATGGTGGGGAGGGCCTTTGTCCTACCTCAAAGTGATGTGCCAGACTTTGTTGACTCGCATGGGAGGGTTCACCCTTTCTGAGTAATAGATGGGAGTTGGGGTGGGAGGAAATTGGGGAGAGCAGGAGGGAATGGGAACTGGGATTGGTATCAATTCTTTGATATGGTAAAAAAAAAATCCACAGGATTTTTGTCATACTTTTGAAATTGTAATGAAGGAAGTTTTTAAAATAAAGTTTGGAATACCAGAAAAAAATTCAGATAACTTTTGTAATGTTCCTCTGCCTCTCTCTCTCTTTACAGATTTATCACCTACAGGAACAACTGAAATGTTTTCTGAAGGAGTAAGGAAACCCTCGGTGTGGCATATAAAGTGGATTCACCTTCCAGATGAAGACCGGGTGGAACCACTAGATACTCTATCTTGACCAACTGTATTTGCTTATTTGAATATTTTTCATTAGTTATAGTAAATTTAAAGATCATAATCATATAGAAGGGGGCATTATAAAATGCATCGTAGGTTTAGAGACCTCCTCAGTCAACATGAGGTTTTGTTTTTCTTTGTCAATCTAAGATTAAATAAGTATGTATGTATATCTTTGACTTTTGTTCTATGTTACCATGAGCTCATTCAGCCATTCTTGTCAAAGGCAGATGGTGTAGCCTAGAAGGATGTACAACTGCTTTACATATGTTAACTTCTCAAAGCCTCTTTTAAATATTCCCTACAATATAGTAAATAATCAACTTGTCAGGTTATAGTCCCAGCATTCAAAAGACAGAAGCAGAAGGGTCACAGTTGAAGGTCAGCCTTCGATATATACGAACCCTGTCTCAAAAAGCAAAACAAAACAAAAGATAAAATCATGAAAACAACCCTAATTTCTACCAAGGGTTGGATCCTGTTACAATTACTTAAATGCTCACCTCTCAGCAATAGATACAAGGTTGTGCCCTTCCTTTCTCAGGTTAAAGACTGCTTTCCTGCTCACTGATGATTTCGTACTACTTATCTTTGCTCTATGATTATGTATTGAGAGTGGTAGCTGGTTATTCTTCAGCTAAGAGAAGGATTAGAGCAAAGATGTTACCCTTATTCTAGTCTTCCCACTATAACTCCCATAAGAAAAGATTAGTAAAAATTAAATTCCTGTAATACCTATGTGGATTTAATAACCCTGGATTTCTTCTTTTTTTTTTCCTTTTTATTGATTCTTTGGATTTCACATCATGCATCCCAGTCCCACTCATCTCCCTGTCCCCTCAAAAACAAAATTTAAAAGTGAAAACAAAAAACAAAACAAAGTTAAAAAAAACTTAGCCTGAAAGCTAAGTGTGGTCCAGTGAGTTACACTGTATAACCTTTAGTCCATAATCTTGTAAATGTTCATTGCAAAGAGTCGTTGGTCTGACTGGGTCCTCACTGAGACTCCTCTTGGATATCCAGTTGTTGTCCTGTGTGTGGAGATCCTGCAACTTTGATTCTATAGGACCAGCCTCTTCACATGCTGCAGCGGTTCATAGATGAGGTAGATGTTGGGGTGGGTTACGTTGGAGTCCTGGTTCTGGGCCTGAGTGGTAGCTGGGTTGATCAGCCTGCCAGCTTTCTCATTGTCACTACCCAGGGAAGCTCTCCAGCACTGCCGGGGGGGGGGGGCCACCTCACACAATGTAACAGAAAGGAGTGGGGCCAATTCTGCTCTCACACCATCAGGTCCAACTCACCCATACTCATACCACGAGGGCCAGTTCTACTGTTTTGCCTAGTCGAGATGCAGGGCCTGCTCTCCAGATTGCTGCATTTGGCAAGGGGCAAGGCCAGCTCTTCCACTGTCATTCTCATGCATCTGAGGCCAGCTCTTCCACCTGTCACAGGTGGCGGGGAGGTGGGAGGAGGAAGGCATATTTCCCTTACCCTTGTCACCACATGGCATATGAGGGAAAGGGTGGGGGCTACTCTCCTGCTCTCACACCCACAGATCTGCTCACCTGTGCCCCCACCAACAGGATCAGCTCTGTTGTGCTGCCTGGGTGAGGTGCAGGAACTGCTCTCCTGAGTGCTGCTGGCAGTGGGGGGCAGTTCTTCCACTGTCATGACCTCAGGGCCAGCTCTACTACCCACCACAGGCGGTGAGGGGTGGGGGAGGAGAGAGGTCATCTCTCCCTTTCCCACTCCACCATATAGCAGATTAGGGGTGGGGCCAGATATCCCATGTGAGTTCAAGGTACCAGATTACCTGTGCCCCATCAATTGGGGTCAGCTCTATTGTGCTGCCTGGGCTAGGTACAGGGCCTACTTTCTTGTGTGCTGCAGCTGGTGAAGGGTAAGATCAGCTCTCCCATTCTCTTGACCTGGGAGCTGTAGGTGACCCATCTGCAGTAGGTGGCAAAGGGCGAGGGGCAAGAGGGTTATCTTTCACTTGCCCACCACACCGCGTGACAGACCTTGAGGCTAGGTCTCCCACTCTTGTGTCTTCAGGGCCAGCTCATCAGCACACATGCTAGCAGGAACAGTCCTACCATGATGCCCTGAGGAGGTGTGGGGCCTGCTCTTCCAAGTGCTGCAGTTGGTGAGGGATAGGGTCAGTTCTCCCTAGTGCTGCAGTTGGTGAGGGGTAGGACCATTTCTCCCTAGTACTGCAGCCAGTCAGGGGCATGGCCTACTCTGTGCAGCCCTATCCTTACTGCTTTCAGTGGCAACAGGAGCCATGGACAATAATACGGACTGTGTCTGTGGCAAGGCCAAGGACCTAGACATGGCCCCTGGCATCAGCCCAGGCCTGGATGACACCTTGACCCTGGGTGACAGCATAAGCTACTCAGATCTGCATGGCTCTGGCAGAGGTTCAACCCTCAGGTTTTCTTCCTGGCTCTAGGTAGGGTAGCTGCCTGAGCCCCCGACGTTTGTGTGGCCCTAACTGGCAATAGGGCATGGATGTCAATACAGACCCCAGCTATGGGTGGGCCATGGACCCAGACATGGTTCTTAGGAACAGCCTGGGCCCAGATGTCACCATAGTCCTGTTTGACAGTGTAAGTTACTTCGATGGGTGTGGGTCCAACAGCCCTGTGGTCCTTGAACCCCCTCATGGCTCCAGGTGTGGGCCCAGATCCTTGGCATCCACATTGCCTTTGATGGCAATAGGAGCCTCAGACATTAGTGATGATCCTGACTGTGGCAGGGCCCTGGACCCAGACATGGCCCTGGCTATAGCTCAGGCCTGTGCAACACCCTGGTCCTGTGTGGTAGCACATGTCACTCAGCATGTAGTGGGTTCAGCAGGGGCAGAGCCCTCAGGCACCAAGAAGGCCACAGGTAGAGGCCCAGATCATGGGTATCAGTGTGGTTTTTGGTAGCAACACGGGATCTGGACATCAGCACAGACTCAGGCTGCAGTAGGACCAAGGGCCCAGACATAGTCCTTGGTGTTGGACCCTTCACCCATAGGGGTCTGCTGACCAGCTTGTGACTAGGAGCTTACCTAGCAGGTACATCCTGTTTTCTTCCTTCCTTGAAGGCCTGAGTGCAAGTTCCTGTTATCCTGTTGTTTGCCCATTCAGGATTGCCTGATGGGCCTGGAAACCTGAACTTGTGATCTGGGTAGTTTTCCACCATCCCTGCTGATTGGTATATAAGCCCCCACTCTTGTTGGAATAAAGGGCATTCTCTCCCTGCAAGAAAGACCTGCTGTCTTGTCTTTATTTGAATCCTCAAGCCCCTTGCCCTGTACTGTGGAAGTGTTGTAGTGCAGGCGCTACACCTTGGCAGCAGCCTGGGACTGGATGTCATTGTGGCTCTAGCTGGCATTGTAGATCACCTAGATCATCATGGCCCCGATGGTGGTGTGACCCCCCAAATGTCAGCATGTCCCCAGGTGGCAGCCCAGACTCCCAGCATCTGCTCAGCCTTCAATGGTAAAAGGAGCCACAGATTCTATCTGAGGTAGTGTCATGGAACCAGACATGACACACACCTGCAATTTGTGACCAGACAACACTGTGACCCAGGGCGGGAGCATGGGCCTCCCAGGTCTCTATGACCCCAGCAGTGGCAGCTTGACTCTACTAGAGCAACATGGTCTCGGGTGTCTACCTGGTCTGCGGGCCTCTGCACAGCCCTCAGTGGCAACAGGAGTATGGATATCAACTAAGAGCCTGGCCAAAGCAGGGCCATGGACCCAGACATGACCCTGGTAACAATCTGAACTGGATGTCACCATGGTCCTGAGTTGCGGTGTAGGAATCCTGACTTGGCATAGCTCCTGTAGGGGAGCATCCCTTGGACATCAGCATGGTCACAGGTAGTGGCTCAGACTCTGGGCATCCACAAGGCCCTCAGTGGTAACAGGTAAGATAGACATGCAACCAACAGTTGCATCAGGGTCACAGACCAAGTCATGACCCTTGGTTTCAGCCCAGGCTGACATCACCATGGCCCTGGGTAGCAAGCAGAGCAGCCCTAGAACACCTCAGCCCGTTCTTTACCACCCTTGCCTCTTTAGATCTGCCTCTCTCCCCGGCACACTAATTGTTCCACTCCTTCCCAGTCTCCCATTTCACCACCCTGCCCTCACTCTGACAGCCCAGATGGGCTTGTGGGTGAATTTTGTGTTTGTCTTCCAGACCCTGCCAGGCCTAGAAACACCGAGCAGTCTGTAGACCTGGACTTCTTAAGGCCTTTAAAAAGCTATATCATTACGGTATTCTGGTGTGTGTGCTTTAAGAAAACAATGATTATTTTAAACAAATGGCTGTCGATTTTTTTGTGTGTGCATGGTGCTTGGGATCAAACTCAAGGCCCTACGCAAGCTAGGCAAGTACTGCTCCACTAAGCTAAACCTCCTACCCTCATTACTCTACAAGAATAAGGTTGCTATTAAAACACAACAGTAAACTCTGCCTTGGTCCATTTAGGCTACCATATCAAAAGTACCATAGTTTCTTGAATTTATAAGCAGTATAAATTTATTGCTCAGACTCCTAGAGGATAAGAAATATACTATTAAGGCCTCCACAGATGTGGTCTGACCCCAGATGTCATACAACCTGACTTACAGTTAGAGACTTCTTGAACCTTTTTACATGGAAGAAATAGCAAAAACAAAACAAACAAACAAACAAACAATTCTCCAGGCTTTTTATAAAAGAGTATTACCTAGGCCACTTTGACCTAATCACCACTCAAAGCCCCATATGCTAAAAACACTGCATTGTAGGCAATCTTTTAACCTAAAAATTTGGGGTGAACACATTAATACTGTAGTATTTTCTGATGGGAAATGACACAAGATGCCATCAATACTAGAGAGTCCTTCAAAAAGAGTTCTTGATGTGACAGACTTTGA